CTACTACTATTATTGCTATTAATATTATTATTATAATTAATATTATTATTAATATTATTATTTTATTTATTGACATCTACAAACCTAGTGATCTTATTTAATGATTGATTGTTATTGTTATATTTAGGCCTATAGCTAAATACAGATACAGCCTATCTCGAAACAAGAACAAAAAATCTTACGGAATGTTCTTGCATTTGGGATGTGTGTCTCGATCAGTCGACATCGCGCTATTAGAAACGTTCACGGAAGCCTCTGCCCAAAGACAAATGTTGCTAACTTACAAGATAAGCGGTATATATAGCATGGAAAATCCCGCACAATACAGCCACCGGCAATTATTTATGGGCCTCTTGTTTCACTTCTCGGTATGGATGGCATTATTGTCACGAGTATTAATTTGAGATTTAAGCTCTATTATTCTATATTCATTGTATTATCCGGTATCGGTATATTGGTGTTTTTTCAGATGTAAACGATGATATATAGTAGGTCTATTCCCGGGACATTCTGCTGCCTATGCCTAGTTCTTCTGAAATTCAATTACAATTGAAGGCCTATATGTAATCTCAAAAATTATAGCCCATGTGAAAAAAAAAATTAATTACGAAACTATTCAATTCTTTAACTAGTCTAATATACTGAAGATGATATATAAACATATGTATAGTTTCAACTAAATTTAACTTAATAGAGAGCTATTCTTTAGCTTCTAATTTAAATACTTGTTTCAATCTCGTGGATAATGTCAGGCAGTTTATTCCATTATTGATAGCAGTTAAAATAGAAAGTATAGCAAATTTGTCAATCAGATACCCCCCACCCCCTCAAAAAAAGTTTCATAAAATGGAGAAAAAAGTAAATTATATTCAAATTTAAGTCCGAGATTGCCATCCGGCCATTTAGAAGTGCCATAGTCACAATTTTATTACTTCAGCCCGAACCATAGTGGGGCTGAGGTGGGTCATATCCTGTGCCCCATCTATTTCGAATTCCTCTATCCTCTTCCCTTGAAGTTTTAAAACGTATTAAAATACTCTAGAAGAAAAAAGGTTGATAACATGCATTAGTCTCCTGAAATAAATGATAATACGAAAAAGTTAGGAATGATAGCCAGGGCGAGCTGCCGAGGGCCCCGTGGCATATTCGCTGCCCCGGGCCCATTTGTTGGGAGTCTGGGGCCCCAGCGGGATCGCGGAGGTCGGTGAATCGATGGAACCCCACCCCCGGAAGTTACGACGTTTTAACGGATTAGAGGACTAATTTAATCGATTGTAGAGTGCCTATTTCACCAGGTCATGAAATATAAAGTATAGAAACATGAAAAGTAAAACCTATCCTCCTTTTATTAAAACGTTCTCGAAGATCCATAACATACAGTAGGTATCACAGTTTACAGTGGCAGTCCAGGAATTTGAAATGGGCCACACAAACGGACTGTCTATCTACCGCAGCAAAACCATGATTTTCGCTCCCATTAAAGTCGCCAGTAGTGCCTGTGCTGCAATATTGAACCACTGTTTCAAAAATTGTACACGGTTAGTTAGCATTTGAAGTCGTGAAATTGATGGCAGCAGAGTGGAGCTATGTGGATGTAGCATACAAATGCAGACATAACATTAAAAAGCAATTACTACATAGACCTAACTGTTGATGTACATTAATTTTAATAGTTATTTCCAACATGTGATTTCTTTCTCCTACATTACAAAGAGATTTTAATCACCATTTAAACTTTCACAATATTTGGCTAACACATAGCCATTAAGCCGCTTCAAATTCACCAAAAGTTATTTCTAATACTTTGTGTTATTAACCAAAAACAAGAATGTAGGACGAAAAATCAAATCAAGTATGTGAATTAACTGAGATTTATGAACCATTTTAGTTATATATTGCTAACGCTGCCTAAATACACCAAGTTTAATCAACAGGTGGCTTTTGATTTGCATGACGAGAATGGATTCACTCATTCGTGACTGTTCTACATTTTCTGCAGAACATGCGTTCCTAAAGTCCATATGATAAAAGGAAAGTTGAGTTCTTGCACGTGTAAATGACTTTTTGCATTATGTTCTAGGTCTCACCGTCATCGTGCAATCAAAAGCTTTCTATTTAAATCTACGCTATGAGTACTCAGTATTGCTAGTCGTAATTTACTTACTTCAAAAGTGATGCAAAGTTGGGATAGTATTAGAACCACAAGTTCTGTGGACATCGCTCACAAGGAATATAATTATGTTACAATCACCGACTTCCCTAATCTTTTCCGGGAGGGTGTATGCTCCCTGTGAACAACCAAGATACGCCACTGTATGTAATGTTCTAAAGATGCCGGTACAAATCCTCTAAAAATATCTCACCTCAAGGTGCTTGTAATGTAGTGGACACATGTTGTATTGGTAAATCATAGGTTGTGGATTTAGAGATAATAGCATACATTTTCAGAGAGTAAATTTAAAAAAAATTGTATCCTTGTATAATAAAATAGTAGTAAATAAAATATGTTTGTTACAATCATAAATCAAAAACAAAATAAAACACAACAAAGATGATATTATAGCGTTGAGTTGGTATAAAAGTTTGATCTAAGTTGACTCTTAGACATGGCGGACTAAATATTAAATGATTTTTTTTTAACAATAAGTAATGTTTTTGTAATTACAATCACTTTGTTTTTGCTGTTGTATGACATGACATCAACTGAACACAACATTTCATTATTAAGTATTAAAAATACTTTTCACAATCGTAAAATTACACAGATATAATGAAATAAACATGTTTATCAAACAAGCTTTTGATTGCACGATGACGGTGAGACCTAGAACCTGTCTCTTATACACATCTAGATGTGTATAGAGCCGTAATTATATATTATCATTCTCCGATATTTTAAATTCTCAATATCCTTTGAGATTGTTACAACTAACAACACCAACAAAAATAATTTCATTCACCTTGGCTTCCCTGATGGACAGTCGACAACAATTCTATATTCGCTTTCAATTTTTGATAATTAAGTTGCTTAATTACAATTATCGTTTATAAAGAAAACTACAAAAGGCAGACATTTCAAGTGTGTGGAAACCCAGCCAAAGCTGAACATATATCTTTAAATTATCTTCAACATTGTTATTCGAACTCGGATCAGCTTCAGGTTATGATACAGTATCTAGTGGTTATCCACCTTACACCAACCTGCTAGCACCCACCATCATACTGGGGTCACACCAACATGAGTTGTGGTGGTGTACTCCAAGAGTCGTGTTGGTCCGGTGGAATGACATCTATATCCACGTTTTAAAACTTGCTAGTTGTTAGGTAACTAGATTTTTGGATCTTTGTGGTTTTTTTTTTCTTCAATCGCACTTGATGACTTTTCACCTTATGGGACTTTTTTATCCAGTAATCTGTAGGAAGCCTGAAAGAAAAAGAACCCATTAAATAGCTAACACATTATCAAATCATTTTTTATCATCAAATAGATAAACTTAAAGAAAATAATTTCCTTGGTTAACACTTTTTTGAGGGTGGGGGTTGAAAGTGCTTGAAGCTTGTTTGCTTTATGTTAAATAATTAAAAAAAATAGAAAAAAAATAAGGAGATTGAAAAAGAAGATCACCTGTATGTAGCGTAGCTCTATATGGGCCTGAAACCTTGACAATGAGAATAAATACTGTAGATATATTGCAAGCTCTTAAAATGTGGACATGGAGAAGGATAGAGAAAATTAGTTGGACAAACAAACAATTAACAAATGTACAAGTACTTGAGAGAGAACTTCATTAGCTATAATAAAAGACAGAAAGAAGAATGGATCGGACATATACTTAGAGGAAACGGTATTTTAAGAGATATAATTGAAGGAAGAATAAAAGGAAAGTGGCTTCAAGGAAGAAAGAGAGTAATGTTTTTAGATTGCCTGAAGGAAACAAGTGCAAGCTATGCCATCATGAAACTTAGATCATATGAGAAAGAAAATTACAAAAATTAACCGCCGTGAACCTGCCAGTAGGCAGAAAACCGATGATGATGAAGGAATAATAACAATAATAACCAAACCACATTTCTGAAATCTGGATCAGTGGGGTTTGGAAATACAAAGTTATTTCTTTGACCTGTATCATTTTCAGGGCAATTTGAGATATGTTTGGAACTATTAAAATATAAAATTTATAAATATAAATATAAATATATATTTACTCGAGTAGTTTATACAGCTGTTGCAACTGGGACTCACAACAACTCTGAGGTTGATGGTTCAAACCCACCCTGTGCATGTCGCTTGTGTCCTCAGCCAAGTCACACTACCTAAGTTTATCCCAACCAATGAGTACCTGGTGGGTTCCAACACTAAATTTAGCTGATTACTAGTTGCAACGTGGAATTCTTTAACAGGAGTTGAGTACAGTATGTGTTCCATACGTGTTAAGGGGATTTTGATCCAATGTCCAGGGGTAATAATGTGAATTTCCTTTGACAAAAACTGTTGTATGTCTAAGTGACCGGCTCCCCAAAACGTTTGAGAATCAGAATTTTAAACATTTTCATGTTTTTGCATTATATTAAAGAAGATATACTGAAGAAGATTTCTGTAAAATATCAATCACTAAATTAAACTTTTTGGTAATAGGGTAATGATAATAAAAATGATTAAAACAAAAAAATAATAACAAAAAGTACTGTTTTACTCAATAATTCAAGCACTAGAAAAAAAAAAATATATAAATTAAACTAAAAAATGTTTACAATAAAAAAAATGTTAGGTAAATGATATTATCAAATGCCAAATAGTTTTAGTAATTCACTTTGAAGATATTCTTTTCTTTACACCAGTTGATTAACATGATATTGCTAATTTATTTTTATTCTGATGTTTATTGTAAATACCAAATGCTTGGTTTATGTAAATAATTGAAAAATAAAAGTAGGATCTTCCCACATGAAAGTTAAAAAAATATCACCAGATCTAACTGAAAAATATATTAAAATTATTTTTAAAATACAAATCTTAAAATAATAAACTTTTGATTTTGGAATCTTTGGAAGTTGTTTTCTACAAATCTACATGGCTGATATCCAATTAAATAAAAATTCATAACTTTGCAAATACTCAACCAATTACCATTAAATATACAGTGTTTTGAAAAAGGCTACTTGAAGAATCTAAAAACACCAAAAACTAAATTTTCCTACAAACGAAGGGTTTTGCTAGAGCCGGTCACATATAGTTATCCATGATGTGTCCTATATGCTCGCGTCATGATGTAAGGTCATAATCAGCAGGTCACATATAGTTATCCATGATGTGTCCCATATGCTCGCGTCATGATGTAAGGTCATAATCAGCAGGTCACATATAGTTTCTCTTATACACATCTAACAAGACACGCTTTTGACTGTTTTCTCTGTAATTAAACAACACAATAACAATGCATTAAAACATTTCAGTTGGTGAACAAATTTTGAGGATGATGAAAACTGGGAAAGATGCATAAAAATATGAAGGTGGAGATAGTGCACGTCGGGGTACATGACAGTTAAGATATATAACTTTGGATTGACTTCTTCATTGAGACTGCACGTCGTATGAAAAGTCATGGATATTGAGCCATGTCAACAATAAATCTCATCATAGTTAAAAAGGTATCCTCTTTTAACATATATTTATAAATTTTAAATAATAATATATTTTAAAAAATGGTAATGATGATGCTATCCAAGTATTAGTAATATTTCAAAGTATTGGATACAAACAACTCAGTAAAGGTAAGAGTTGATGGAAGTTCTTAATTTGGAATTTGTTATAAATCAGAATTAGAGGTCAGACGCATTTGTAGCTCTTCTTTTCAAGACTAAGTTGTACCATATTTTATCATCAAATAAATAACAAAATGTTTGGCTTCAAAACCAATAAGTCAATGTTATAGGCCTAATTTTGTTAGCTTCTTGCATTGTATACTTTTTTTTCTCCGGTCAAAGCCGTTAAATTCTCACTATTACATTACTTGCAGTCCAGCTGAAAAATAGATTATGTCTTAATTCAGAGAAACAAATAAAATTTTAAACGGTGCTAGTCTTTTTCATAATTTCAAGTTTCTGAGGATTCATTCAACATTGGCCGTATTCGACTGGTCGTTCTTTGTTAAACCACACTCACCTGCACAGTGGTAAAATCCTGCTTAACTAAGACGACCAGTCGAATAGAAAACTAGTAAATACTCGACAAAACAAAATGGCTGCATAGCTACCGCAATACACGTTGCGTAATCAAGGTTGCTTCGGCTGGTGCCAGTATGGGTTTTTCGTAAAAAAATGTTTTCATCCAGTTTTTGAATTCGGTTAGCCTACAATTATTTTTTGACTTCATGTGGGTAAATATTATAATTTTCATTTTCTGAAATTTAATCCAAATTACATTAAGCTAAATGTTGTTGCTAAAGTGACCAATTGTCCATGGTTGTTTTGATCACGTGGATAACTTAATGCTGGTTACGTTAATTTTTGTTGTCAACGGTGTCTATTTTACGTACCAGTCAAATGAAAATAATACTCAACCAAAAATCATAGTCAACGAAATGATCCAGTCGAATAAGCCCATTGACATTCTGGTTGTGCATATCCGCAGGTCAAAAGTTATAATTACATCACTTTTTATTAAGCATTAAAATTGTTTTAACATAGTCACCTGATTACTTGGAGTGGAGCGTGTGTTGCTCTTTTACCTAGCAACCAACCAATAAAGTTCCTAAGCCGCTCTGAAGTAGGGTTTTCTAAAACTGGTAGTTCAATCTAAAAACAAACAAAAAGATGACAGAAAATTTGCATTTGCTATATCACAGTATGAACCTTAACATCAATTTTTGGAAAACCATAGTGTAATGCCAAACCTGACAATCAAAAGTGCAGAACCATCATGGAAAACAAATACTATGAAATTGATTACCAGCAAAATTTAAAGACATATGAAAAGAATAGACGAACAAAGGTATTATATTTGCATCTGTTATTTTGCATTTCAATATCTAATTGAAAGTTCAAAAATTACGTTAAAAAAACACCCCTAAGTAATTTATATATTAGTTTAGACAGACAGTGATTGTTTATCTTCATTAAAGATATTAGGAACAAATGCTAAGCTTTGACCAGACCAAGGTAAAGGTTCAAAACCCGAAGCAGGCCGAAGTGCCCATCTCTTTTTCTTTAGCGTTTTTGCCAGACTGTGCAAGGCTGTGCAGGGTTCGCCACTATCACATTTTATTTGATAAAAAACTGTCCATATATGGTCATGAATGTGCCTATACATGGTCATACTCTGATGTCATATTCAGGCATGTCACATGTTTTTATTAAAAGAAATGTGATAGTCCGGATAGAGGTTTATACTCTGCACCACCAATTTAAAAAGGTAGAATTGCTGGTCACGTTTAGTTTTAGTTTAGTCACATGGCATAATTCTAAACATTGAAAAACAAGGAAGGAAGTTCTAATTCTCATTCTCACCATGTCATCTGGAATAGAATTATAATCTTGACAATCAAGGATATCCTGGCAGAACTGGGATGAAATTGCAGTCTGTACAAACAAGTACATCATATCTCCCCTATCCATGAGGAATGCACCATCACGACTCAGATACTCGGCAGAAAGGCCTAACAATGCCGGCTGCGGTACATCCACATCTTTTTCTGACACAGAGCCCTGGAAACAAAATAATAACTTCAATAAAAATGTAAGCTCTACACAAAAAAAATGTAAAAATATACTTGATTTAATTGTGAGGATAACAAGAATAAAGATGATTAAAAAAGATGATAATAATAGTGGTTATAATTATTAATAAAATAATATCAACTATTCACCTGTTAAATATAATAATAGTGATGATAATTATTGATAATGATAAAATAATATCAACTATTTACCTGTTATACTAATATAATTAAGAGTGAATGATTACAAATAAAATAATATCAACTATTTACCTGTTATATTTGAACTATTTACCTGTTATATTTGAATTATTTACTGGTTATATTTGAACTACATACTTGTTATGATTCATATTTTTGCTTGTTACATTTTAATTATATACTTGTTAAATATCAACTATTACGCTTGTTATACTTCAACTTTGTATTTGTTATATTTCAACAATTCACTTGTGATATTTTAAACATTGACCTGTTTTAGTTTACCTATTCAGCTGTTATATTTAACTATTCACATGTGATACTTTAATTATTTACTTGTTATATTTTAAGTATCTACCAGTTTCACTTTAATTATCCACCTGTTACATTAACTATTTGCCTGTTATATTTTAGCTTGTTACACTTGTTATACTTCACAATTTTCATAAATTAATTTTTAAAGCATGCATTATAAAATTATAATATTATAATTATCATTTTTATTATCTAATGCTAATATACATTCTTGTGGAAAAAATACTTGTTAACTATCCACCTGTTATATTAACCATTTGTATGTTATATATTAGCTTGTTACACTTAACTATTTACTTGTTATATTTCACTATTTTCATAATGTTCAAAACATGCATTATAAAATTATAATATTATGATTATTACTTTTATTATTTTTATTATCTAACACTTTTTGGTAAACATCTAGAAAAAAACTTAACTAAAATAATAATATCTACTGCAAACCTACCTCATCAGTTAGGTTGTGAACAGCATAAAGGCTTGGATACACCTGTAACATAATTAAGCCTAGTGGCTGACTCTTAAACATCTCCATAGCATGGACTCTTTCATCCAGTTTAGTGCTCGAACCCAGACGAAATGCAATCTAGAAACAAAGGTAAATTATCAGTCATTATATCGTAAAGAGAGTTGTGTTGCACAATGAGTCGGTTGGGTAAGCGGTAAAGAAAGTGGTGCCGCAGCGTACAGCGATAATATCAGCGCTGGTTTGAACAGGATGCCTGCTTTTGGATCTACTGGTGAACAAGTCTTCTCAGATAAGAAGTCCCATTGTACACAGATGGGGATCATGTATTTTCGAGACGAGTGGACAGATAAGTGTGGCTGGTACTGGTTTACTAGGTAGCTCAGATACCATTAGGGGAGAAGAAGTTACCAGTACTGTAAGAGCTAGTCCACACCTCACGCACTTTGAGACTGTTTCAGTATAATGCGCTATACATAAAATGCAACTACATTACATTACAAAATGTGACACTACTGCTATCCTTGAGGAGCCTCCATAGCTATTCACATGTTACATTGCCCCTAATTTGCGCTCATCAGGCTGTCATTGAAAAAAGCAAATAGAAAAATAAATAAATAAAAAAAAAAAATGATAGCAGCACTTTTGTGACTAGCAGTATAGAATTTAATATCTAGCTTTCGTCCACACAGTGGACTTCATCAGGAGACATGCTTTTGAAGTGTTGCAGTAGCAGGTAACCCTACCAGGTACCTGTTTATACTCCTGGGTGGGGAGAAGCAATGTAGATAAAGTGCCTTGCTCAAGGACACAAGCGAAATGTACAGCGAGGGATTGAAACCCTGACCTTGAGGTTGGGAAACCAAACTTATCTTCTCACTATTATTAAAATTATTTAGAATGTTTTACGTTTGGAAATGTTCGATGTGTGTTGGATGTGTTCTGCATGTCTTTAAAGGCCCCTCTAGTAATTCAGCATCGCTGTAGTGTCCCCTCAATATATTTGAATGAAACTAGTGGTATTCAAAATAATGATCTGAAGCTTGGAAACCTGATCGTATGCTGATGCACCAACCAATCACACATAAACATAACTAACATTGAAAGTTTGTATTTGTTGTACAGAATGATAAAAGTCCAACTTACATTTTTCAACAAAGCTAAAGAATACAGTGGAAGCAGACGAAGGCTGTATGGTATAGACAGCGTACCAATGGTCTGGCTCGCAGGTAGCGTGTCCTTAAAACCCATCATTGAATCGATGCAAACATTCACAATAGCATCACGAGAATCCTGCATTGACGACGACTGACATTTATCCACAGCTGAGGAAAAGATGGTTAAGTATCACCGAATAACAATAATAATAATATAGAGATCTATACTGTGCCTTTTGTCAAGGGATGCAAGGCACTGGCGATGTTGTTATTATTACCCCTGGTCATCGGATCCATAATCAAACCAGCACAAAGTGCAACCCCCTCCCCTCCCTGGGGAGTATTCCTAGCCGTGCGAGCAATTTAATACCGATGCAGACTAGTATTGTACTTGCAATGCCACATCATCCTACCAGAATCTTAACTTTCATTCTATACCAACGTGTAGTTGTCACAAGTTACAGAATATTAGCATGTAGAATTTTTCTTTATTTATTTATTTTAATATTTTATAATAGTTTGGGTATAGAAAACGTTTCAAAACATTACATTAATAAAAAATAAACATTGATTAAAAAAAGCCAAAAAAAAAAAAAAAAAAAAAAAGACCAACTGCCATAGCCCAGGACAGACCAAAATGCACTAATAGTAAAGGCTTTCCCAACAACAATAAAAACACACAGATATCAATGAAATTACAACATTTGAAAGTATGAATTTACTACAAAAAATTGACAAGGTCATTTTACTCTCTGTATCAATTTTATTTAAGCATCATCAGGAATGGTAATGGTAACAATACACTTTTTTTGAGGAACAATGTCCATATGATACAAAAAACATATAAAATAAGTCAAATAATATTCATGATAATAACATGAATGATTGAAAAATTTGAATCTATCAACAACAGACTGAGCCAAGACCGCAGATTCCTCTCGCACTATGAAACAGATTGTTCCTTTGCAATATCTTTATCATTGACTATTTTCCATTACCATTGATTTAATATTATTTTATATCATATTCTATTGTATTTAATGGTATTATCATTATGCCTTTATTATATGATTTTCTGTTGATTTTTTTTATGCTATTTTATCAGTCTATATTTATTATTAACAATTTGTTTGCATTTGCTGTTTTTACAGTGTAATTGTAATTTTTTACCACTTTATAAGACCTATCATCCATGATGCTTTGTTTATCACTGGTCTTTTAATTCCAGTCAGACCTTCTGCTTATATTTTGTTTATATTGCTTAATTTAAGTGAACAGTTTGATCCTGTGTTTTTCACTTCATTCACCTGATGAAGCTAGTGAAAGCTTGTGTCTCATTAAATATCGGTGCTAAACTGTACTCATTTCATTCCTATTTTATGCTATAGACTAATACGGCTCCTACTGTTATTATAATAACAGTAATTGGGAATATATTATTTGGCTTTAGTTTAGGTAGAGTAGTTTATCAGGTGAAAAAAATGTATTATTAGGCTTCAGGGGAAGATGTCAAAAGAATGAAACCCATGTCCTAGAAGATTGGAGGGCTTACCAAGATGCAAAAATATTATACCAATATAGGTAACAGGAACTTATTCCTCCTTTTCTCCAACCTCCTTCCTTTGTATGTTTGTTCTTTTGATGTTTTTGGAGGAAATAAATGTATTGTATAGATGACAAATTTTCGTTTTTGTAAAGCTAAAATGGAAATGGAGTACGTAATCGTTTGTAATCTATACAATTCTGGAGTTAAATGAAACTTTTTCAATATATTATTAACACAATTTGCAAAGGATTTGGACCCAAAATTCTTGAATTGAAAGCCAGTGCACTTTAACCACCAAACCACAGTCAAATGCTAAATTATATATTTTGTTTTCTATCATATGGACATTGTTTATTAAATTTAAAAAAATCAGATTCAGATACTTTTTTATTTGTCCAATATGGAAATAGCAGTGCGTACATTTTCAAGGCATTAAAATTTTATAAACAAAAAAAAAAAACATTAGTTCTACATATAGATAAAATGTACATAAAAATCACTAAAACTGTCTTTAAAATTAATCACTATCATTATTAAAACTGCAGACATTGGTCCCCTTTATTTTTTGGTTGTATACACCAAAAATCCTTTGAAAATCATACAGGCCTTTATATCAGAAAAACAACAGTGAAATGTTAAAAAGACTAACCCATTCGTGACAGCAAGCCAACAATAGCCTGCGAATCAGCGCCTGCATAAACCTCCGATAGCTGATTTGTTATTGGTAAACACATCGTATGAACCCTGATTCGTCTTTCTCCTGAAAAACAAAAAAGAAATTTCTAATGATCACTATCACAGTCACAATGTGCATAATCGTCATTCAATTTATGAATTGGCTAGAATGTTATAATTTTGTTTTAAACCATACTTATAGAAGGTGACCCTTCCAGCTGATATTCCGGGGCCCTCTTAAATAAATGAATGTGATGCTTTCATCAGCCAAGTCTCTTTGAGATTTAGGGAGTGGAGTTGTTTTCAGTCGTGAGAAACTGTTCTGTAGTCGCAGGAATTGAACCCAGGACCCTGAGATTAGAAGGCAAGCATCTTAACCACTAAGCTATTTAACTCCACTTCATGCATTACGTCTTGCCTTTCGACATGATCATGTGCAATTGAAATTATAAGTAGTCTGATTTACATACCTTTGCTACTTGTGTATAAGAGTGCCGCTTGAAAGCAGGCGGTCTGCGAGTCTGTCAGCGTGTCCTCAATGGACATCTGTACCGCATAGCCAGCATCCGGACTGACGTTGGGCAGAGACAGCAGGTCAGTTGACCGCACAAAGAAATTGCCGTGGAATGTGTGTAAAGCAAGACCTAGGATTAGAGTGAAAAGGAAAATAAAGCAGAAAAAAAAATAAAAAATAACATTTCTTATTTAATTTTACTCTCTAAGTTGTGAGTTAAGTTTATTAAATAATTTTGATGTCAGCGGCGTACAGTATCTACGGAGGAGTGTGAGGGAGTGCACACCGACGAAAAATACTTCCACTCCGCAGTTAAAACTCATGTCATTTCGACTTTCTCTCCTAGCTGGCTCTCCCTTACTTAATCCTCAATCACCACTTAAACTTTGCATCCCACATCAGTTCCCCATGTCAATACTCCTAGATAAATGCTACTGTTTAATATGCATACAATAACTAAAGGCATGGCCTAAATATATTGACATATGTTTTACACAATATAAATTCTACTAATTATATTATTAAACAAATATAAAATTTTACCTTTTGTACAGCGTATCCTCATGACGGCTTCAAAGCCGATCTTTCGTGTCAGGTAGCGCCGGAAATCTTTTTCAAAGCGTTCTGCCTGGACTGGGTTTGCTTTAGTGTGCAAGCTCGGGAAGTAATACAGAGAACCAGCAGAAAACTTGGCAACACCAGCTACAAAACAAACAGATCATTGTTATATACATTATTTAGTTTTTAAACACATCAAAAACAGTGTGGATACTAACTAGCTCTTAAAGACACATCTGTTGTCTGCTGTTTCGAAGTTTCTTAGTTTTCAATTTTGTTTTGCTTTCAAACTTAATTTTTTTTTAGTTAGATAGCCCCATTACTTGAGCACCTGTGAGTTATGAATATGTTGGCACCTACACGTCAAATTGCCTGCAAGTGCGGTGATGTGTGCGGTGTTTCTTTTCTGGTAGCTTTTTGATTTAAAGGTATTTTTTGGTTCCTTCCTTGTGTAGCGACTTAAGCACTACCGCACTGGATATGTGCGGATTATTAATTTTATTGTTATTATACTAGATGTATCTACTTAGTACGTGTATCACAGAAATTTCATGTCCCCATGACTCGTGGGAGACATGGGGGCGCCCCTGACTGTATGTATGCATTTCATCTGACCCGTGTAATCTTACCGAGCGTGGCTAAATCAGCATATTGTGAACTATACAGAAACAGATCTGCTCCAATCTGCTGAGCTGAGAAGTCTAAAGCCATCTTTTTGTAGAAGTCCGTGGCTGGGCCTAAGTTGGCAACATTCTGAATGAGAGAAATATAAATACAAATTAAAAACCACTTCTTAGAGACAAACACTCATCAGCATCACAATACCCCTTTATGTTACCCAAGCATTTCGCAACAAAACATGTGACGTGCCTAAATATGGCCATGATGACATCACTTAATGACCATCACATTATGACTTTTCTTTTAAGAATGTGCTTTTGCCTCATCTTAATTTGTAAATAATTATGAAACATTTTTTTTGTTAAGTTTTTTTTTATTGAGTTACTCATGTCCAGGTAGACAAAATCTTTGGGTATAGGAACTTGTTCCTCCTTTGTTCTGATCCCCTCCTTTTTTCTTTTGTATATGTGAATTTGGAGGAAATAAAAATATTATTATTATTATTATTAGGCCTATTATTATTATTATTACGATATATAAGCAAATAATGACTATATATGAGCATACAACAGTTTTTTTTTTGTCAATGAAAATCTGGACAGAACTTTAAAGATTAAATTAAGAAATTTGATTATCCTGATTTAAGGTTTCAAAAATATTTTGATGACACTGCATTAGAGAAGAATTTTAAAATAAAAATTCTGTCTGCTAAAACCCTAAAGATTTTAACCAAATAATCAAATTGTTTATTTCAAAAGGATCATGGAAGATGAAGATGATGATGTGAGGATATCTATTTATGTCTTCATGATTTTAAAATGACAAAAGAAATCAAATTACCTTAGATGATCGTTGATTTGGATCTTCTCTGGATTTCAGGGCTCCTGGGCCAGTGCTTGGCAGGCAAGACTGAATCACAGTGACACGTCCACCAGTTGGGCCCTGACGAAGAGAATTTGTCATTCATTTATTCAACCATTTATTTATTTAACGTAATACTTATATACATATTTATTCACACAAAAATCCTTGTCAATATTTACAGTAAAATTATTATGCATTTATAGTCAAGTTCTGAGGACACTTAGGAAATATAAACTGAATATTAACAAAACTGCCGAAAGCCCACGAGGGCTGAAGGCAATTTGTGAAGGAAATAATGGCTAATAGTGGTTCTAATTTCTATAGTGCCTGAAATAACTTGACAATAATTGCTTTATAATTGGGGGAGAGCGGATTGGCGCAGCATGATCTATTTGATTTCTAGACCTCAATGTTGGGAGTTCAAACCTCATGCTGTTCATTCTTATCCAGCCATGCATAGATACCCCAGCTTGTATCGTTATAAAAGTTGTTGTAAAAGTGGCTTATTGTAATGTTTCATGGTTTGAAACTAATGCAGTGAACCATTTGATTAGCTAATTTGGACCCTCTTGATTAGGGACACCTGAATTAGCTATTGTACGCTATTGCACTAAAAGTTAATTACCTTGTTTTATATGCATATATATAACTTCTCGTTATAGCGGTGAATGGTTGTTTAGTAGTGTAAATGTTATATGATGAATGATTCCAGCATAGCCTGTTCTTCTTGTTTTTCTTTTCTTTTAAATCAATAACATTTCTAGGCCTAGCATATGTCTATGCTGCACTGATGTTTATAAACGCTGTAAAACAAGTCTGGTTATGTTTGTACTGTGTGTTTTTAGTGTAAAAACAGCAGCTTTACCTGAGCTTTTTGCACACAAGACACACAAAAAAAAACGGGGGAAAAAACGACCTAGGCACTACATCAGATTAGTGCCAGCATTCGTTGAAAGCTACCCTACCTGCATAATTCACAACTTACCAGTAGTTTGTATGCTGCCTGTAGAGCCGGTCCAAGTGCTGACTGCGTTTCTTTATTGTTTTGAAACAAAGTGGGTAATTGGTTCAAAAGATCTTGAACAAGCTAATAGACAAGGAGACAAAAGTGTTTAATTAATATGCATACATTCCAATTTTAAAAGTAATATTTTTGGTTCTGTTCTGATTTTTCAGTTGTTGCGCTGGATTGACACTCTATCTAGAAAGGTCTTCACTTAATTATTACTATCAAAAAGAAAATGGTTGTAACCTGGTTACGTAGAAATTTATTTGATACGACATGCTTTGGGCATAGCCCATCATCCTCATCATAAAGAGCTGTGACATAAAGCAAATTGTGCACTAAAGAAAAATTAGTGCATGGTTGGGGATAGGAATTTAACATTGGGAGTTGCAGTGATGATGTTACAATTGACTTATAATAAATATTATTCAATGTTTATGCCAACTTACTTCTTTTGATTCGTTAAGATTCACTAACAGGTCACCTGGTAATGGTAAGAATATATCTAGAAGAAAAACCACAAAACATTTAAATTCATATTTATAGGTACTTAGGTCAACTATACACTACTGGACTTTGTCAGATTCAACAACTAATGTTTGATCAGACAAAAGCACGTGGCATGCCTAAATATGGTAATGATGACATAACATTATGACCATATATAGGCACATCATGACTAAATATGGATATAGAATAAACAATAAATTAAAATAAAAGATTGAATCTGTGAGATTGCATGAGCACTTTAACCAGCTTACCATCGATATCTGATACCACCATCATCTGTGGCCGTGTGGCGCCCTCTTGCATGTTGTAGAAATGCAGCGTACTGTCGTAGCTGATGAAGCCAATCTTTGTTCTCCCGTCTCCAGGCAAGCGTTCCAGTTCATCTAGGAGTACTTGACAGAATATGGACAAGATGCCCGACTGTACAGCACTGAATGACACGTCTAATAAGAACAGGTACACAGCAGGCTGGGGTGGACGCAACTGAAAGATTATATTATTAAAAAATCAGAATACATACTAATATTTTTAATATACAGTATCACATTTCATACTGTTATTACAACTGCAAATTCAATATTATGGCATTTTTTTCAAAAAAGGACTAAGAGTGCTTTAAGCAATTCCTAATGTACAGTAATATTTATTATTTTATTTTATTTCATAGCACACATATCCAGAAAACTGTTCAAGGCACTATTTCTTCCTGGTCATTGGATACAGAATCAATCATACACAATGCGCAACCTCCTTCACTCCCTGGGGAGTATCCCTACTTAAGCATGTAATCAGCAGTAATAATTTCATTCTAAAAACATTCACCTCCTACAAGGTACCCATTATCCTTTGGGTGAAGAGAGGCTAATGCAGATAAGGTGTCTTGTCCAAAGACACAAGCAGTGTGACAAGCTTCATTCTCAAACCCCGAACTTCCAATATTGAAAGTCCAATGCCTTACTGGCTGCGCCACGTGCTTCTACTGATACATACAAAGTTTTAACACATAAATGTAGTTTATCAAAATGAAAAATAAGTGCCACAAAAATGTTTCAGTGTAGGTGTATAATATTTATATCTTTTCGTTCTGTATTGTTAACAATTCTAATCAATTTTAATTGGTACTCATTATATTTATTTATTTATTTATTTCATTTCAACAGACCAACAGCGAATCATCGCCACTAACAGGCTGGTAAAATATATAAAATTTAAATATATCAAATATATATGTAGGGAGTCTAGACGAGAACATTGTATAAACATATGGGAGAGCTCTGGCAACCTTGTTTACGTACTGAGAAGGTTCCTAGGCAACCTTGCTCCTGCGTACGGTCAGCGTCGCGTATGGTACGATGCTGTTTGCCTGATGTTTTGTAGGTAAGGTTGTGGATTTTATTAACTGAAAGTAAATGATTATTATTTGATCTACTCCTGTCTCTTATACACATCTAGATGTGTATAAGAGACAGGTGCTACGATATTATAATGGTTGTTTGCCTGATGTTTTGTAGATTTACTGGACGTTTTGATGGGTATTAATAAATTGAAGTTGAACACGTATAGGACGACTCCAGCTCTATTATTTCGGAACTGTGTGCTTTGCTTGGCCTATGAAACGACACAACCTCTACATATAGATGAAAGAGTACAAAAATCTCACCTATTCAAATGATTAATAATAATAGAACGAAATATAGACAAACTATTGTGAAAAATGTCAATATTAGGTTAAAATAAGAGAATTATATTGAAGAGAAAGTCTAGAAATAAAACTACGTTTACAGACATCAACTCTACAAAAGGGGACATTAAAGGTAGGACAGGAACGAAGGCTTCTAGAATTAACATGCAAACCAAACAGATGTACAAAATCACAACTAAAGTACGAGTTAACACATTTATAGAGAAAAACCATATCGTGAAATAAAAATCTATTCCTAGGACACATTAATTTACAAGGGCGATTAAAACATTTTTTAAAAAACCTAATAAACTTAAGATGCATCCTATCGATGCGAATTAACTGAGATTCGGATGCAGGTAATGAACTCACAACATTGTACGTGAATATCAGGCAGGCATAACAATATCTAATTTATGATATATATCTCCTTACCATATACTCAGAAGGTGCAATGAATTCAATGGTGGATGATCGGATTTCAGGTCGCCTTGAAGGGTCACCATATGTGCGGGTCACTGGATCAAAGGTGAACTCTTCTTGTACTAAAGGAAGGGTTGTATGACAGTTATTAACAAGTACTGTATCCCAATTGAAAGGTAATGTTTAATGGTAGTATTAAGATAAACATGAATAACTTATACAAAGCACTTTTCCTATACAATTCTACAGTAAATTGAAAAATTTGAGTTTGAAACTATCTCCACTACTATCAATTTGTCATTGTAGCAGCAGCAGCATTAGCAACAGCAGTACTAGCAGTACCAGCACCAGTACTACCAGTACCACTAGCAGCTATAACACCAGCAGTTCCAGCACCAGTAGAACCAGTACCGTCAGTACCAGCAGCTCTAGCAGTGTCAGTACCACCACCCCCAGTACCAGTAAGTAGCACCACCAATAGCAGTACCTGAACCAGAGGCTCCAGTACTAGTAGTCCCTGTACCAGCACTAGTACCACCAGTACAAGGATCACCATCACCAGTACCACCAGCATCACCAGCACCAGTGCCACCAGCAGCTCTAGCAGTAACCATTAGCACCAGCAGCACTTTTCATTACATACATTTTACCCTTCTGATATTAAGTGAACATTCAGACTAAACTTTATTAATATATCTATGAAAGATGAAATTAATCATAAGATAAGGATATCTTATGATTACTTTTGCGGAGTGGAATGGATTTTCTTCATTTCTATAATTTATTTTGCCATTGTTAGGTATAGATTATTTTTATTTTACTAAATTGTTGACTTCTGCATACTGTATAATAATTATGTTTTGTATCTATATTATTTAATTTCTATGTTTAACTTTTTTTTATGATGTACCGTAATGTGTTATTTATGTTAATGATAAATAAGGTATCTCATAGCCATAATGAAAAACAGCATTGTATTTGTTGATTTGTGCTTCGTGAATAAATAAAGTTTTACTACACAGCAACATAAAACTCTGAACCAAGAATTTGAAACACACAGCAATGATACAGTACTTACAATCATTAACCCTAAAACAAAGATTGCACCTCCAGCGACGTTGATCAATGAAATTAACGAATGGATTGATGTACGTCCTACAGGAACGACACCGAACTATCACACTTGATTGAATTACAGGTAAATGCTAAAAAAAAAGAAGTTTTATGTTATTGATGAATAGAAAACCAGAAGATGATTGTAACCCAGTAGAGATATTTCATGATATCAAGTCCATAATACGTTTAAAACCGGGCACCCACTACACCCGGCAGTTGTCTGCCGACATGGCTCTATGGAGAACACAACGCCATGATGCGCACGCAATGAATTGTTTTAAATGACAAATCGTTCAGACTCACTGAAAATAAGCAGACGTTGTCGCATCGTCTAATGCTCACAGTGAGCGTACAACGGTCGGACGACCTTAGTACAACGCAGCGAGTACCCGGCTTAACATGCACTCCGTGTCAAATTTTGTTGTGCGAATCGGATATATCATAACAAACAACATTTCTATTTAATATACATAGCGAAAGGTAGTGATTAATTTTTCAGTTGCCATGTACTTACTGAAAGGTCTTTATAAGGATGAATTAAAACACCTAATGGTAACTTGGACTTTTGGAGCAACGACTGCGACTGTGGTATTGAAGTCAGCGTGCAACAAAACAAGCTGAAATTGATATAAAATGGAACAGATCATAAAATAGTTTAGTTTTTTGTGTATCTATATACAAAAATATAAGAATACAAAAATTTCATTCACTCCTCTAGAAGAAATTACAGAAGTAGAATAACTGTTGTGTCTACTGCCCCAAGGAGGTAGTAGACACTTTGTTGTCATCTAGCAGTTGACCTTGTAAGAGTAAATCTGAGGGAGGAATGATAGGATGGGTCATGAGCTAAAATGAAAAGCAAGTCAAGGAAATAAGATGCCATGCTAGGTAAGACCTGTCCTAGTTGACAGTAAGTTATCAATTGAATTGAAAACACAAAAAGCTGCTAGATTAGGCCTGTCCCGGAAAGTTCACTATAAAAAGTCACAACAACCTGGTAATACATGTACAGCTATTCTAGTGAACTGCCAACACAGCAAACATCCATTGATGAGATAAAAGTAGCCAAAAACATGTAAAGCAGCACATACTCCCACTGGGAGCATATTATTTTTATATTAGATAAAAGTTGGCAGTATATTCTTTTTTAAATGCAAATGGAATTTCTTGTTCCTTTCACTCAGTTCACGATTCGTCTAATTTGCTTTCTTTAAAGAAATATCTTAAAACTTATTCATTACAGGAATGTTAACTTGCCTTAATATTTCCTAACTTAGCGCCTTTGATAATTATGAACTGGCGCTAAATAAATATTTGTTATTATTATTAGATTTTATTAAAATTAAAATTTAAATAATATAAATTATTTGCTGTGATAGTGTTATATAATGATTGATGTATGGATGATTACTATATTAATTATTATTCGATGCTATATTGCAATAACTGTTGAATAATTAACCATATAATTTTTAGAGAGCTCTCACAAAGTGTTTCCCTATTATTAATTTGCTCTTATATTTAAATGAGGCTGGTGATTTTGCACAATCACACAATAGGCAAGTTCACTCAACAGAAGGAAAATTCTCACAATAAAAATGTTTCTGTTTAAATTTCATTGCTAAATTTACTAGCAAAGCAATTAACCTCTAGGAAAACACTGGTTGTGATTTAATTACCAAAGAGAATAATTTCCATCTATTTTCTAAAAGAATGAATGCAATTTGACATTCCATAATTAAACATGGCACTACTGAAATGGCAAATTTTAGATGCTAAATATCAGATAATACAATACCACAAGAATGAATAACGATTACCAAAATGGCTCATTTTATGATATTCAAAATTACTTAAAATCAAAATAGTTTTAATTATTTTTAATATTATTATTACAATTTATTATCATTGTTACTGCCATTACCATTACCATTCTCAGCTATCTACTTAATTAAGCCTATTACAAACAATACTCTATGGATTTATCCTCCTATCTGCCCATATATTTTGTGTGTACTTATTCATAGACTGACCCATCAACTATTCATGTCCATCAACAAGTATGCATCATCAAGTTAACTCACTAATCACAGGATGCTACTACCTGACACTCTAGTACAGTATGAGGCTTACGGGGGTGGAATCATTAGACTCTTTCAGATATAGAGCTACAATACCACAATATTGCGGTAAGCACGCCGGCATGGCTTTCTTTCTGAAAGGGTCAATACGCCAATATGCCTTCTTACTTTAGGCCACCTCGCACCCTAGCAATATTGCGGTAACGGTTACTGGCTTGCTCTGTCTGAAAGGGTCTACTCGATACTGTGGCAATCATTAAGCCAGTGTGTGCTTTTATGCATAAACAAACAAGGTTAAAGTTGAAAGTATTTAAACAGCCAACATTACACCATTCTATAGGACCATTACAGACAGAGAAGCGCAAGTTTACCGCAATATTGCAGTAACAAAAGCGCTATGTGAAAGGGTATAGACCGGTTATTATGCCAGTATGCTTACCACAATATTGTGGCAACGTCTATCTGAAAGGGGCTATATATCCTTGTAATGGCGAAAAAGTATGTTTTTATAGCAGGATCTAAACCTAGAGCCCTTAGAAACTAGGCGCTTTGGGACCCTAGAACCCAAGGAACTTAGGACCCTGTGACTGGAAGACAAGCATCTTAACCACCAAGGCACTATTCTAGCCTATATTTACTATACAAATTTCAAACTTAAAATCCAGCTAGAATATTTATCTTTGTATGTGGCTTGAAAAAATCTGCTATAATTAGTATTCATAATGGTTATTCATTCCTATAAACTTATCTATCAACTGTATTTACTTATTTTTTTCTTAATTTATTCATTAATTCATCCATGTATTTGGTTAAAAATTATAAAAATAAAAATATTTTTCAACTTACTCTGGGCTAACGTTAGTTTTCTGATTTCCATTACTAAGCTTAGGTTTTGGGGCCTCAATAGGTGTTTTTGGTAAGATATGCCTTTCTTGCATAAGATTCACAGGCCTTGCATCATTCGGCTGAAGATTCATTTTCCCTACTCCTGCAGTCAAATTATTCATCTGGATCATAAGAAATTTAATAATATTAATCAATATAAGGGAAAAAATTGTGGAGAATGACATCAGTTTCAGCAAGACACTGTGCTAAGCCAATGTATACAGGATTGTTTATTATCACTGATCAAAGTCAATTTTTATTAGAGATATGATATTCATATTTAACTTTCACAAACATAACAAATAATAATTATAATTATTTATTAAGACAAGATAAGCTTTATTGTCATATTCCAAACAAGTGAACTATGAAATTACAATCTTAATGCTTGATAAATAAAAAAAATAACAAACTTGCAAGCTACTAAAACACTAAATACATAAAGTACATTTAAGATTAATTACACATCAATAAATGAAAATAAATATAAAAAAGTTCTATAGCACTTGTTAATTATTTGCACATATACGTGACCAGTACTGTATTGTATTATCTATGAATTTTTGAGTTGTTAATGTGTATAGCATTGCTAACAAAGGAATTTCTATACCAATTTTTTTTACACATATCAAAACAAAACAATTTGTAATTTTATACAGCATCATTCCCAAGGTATAGGGCACCAGGACTATCTATTGCCTTACCTATTATTTTACAAGCATACTTTATTACATTTCTGAGTTTATTTTTGTTATATTCTGTCAATTTTTTGCAAACCAATTGAGAGTTAAAAATCATTACACTCTGAATTACACTAACAAAAAATAGCAATAACGCATCATGAGTTTCGAAGGGAAAAAAGGCGTTGATTTGAGTTCTTTGTAATATACAGTGTGTTTTGGTTCCAGCTAAGATCTATATCAATTATGGTACCAAGATATTTGATTTTATTATTATTATTATTAGTAGTAGAAGTACTACAGTACTGTATAAAGACAGATAAACTCACCATTGGCTGTTGAATATTTCCTGGTGGGGTGCTTGGAGGTACAGCTCCCATACCAGATCCCATCATTCCTGGTGGTTGGGCCGGGGCTTGTCCTCCTTGATATGGCAGATTTTGGGGACCAGTTAAATAAGATTGACTAGGATATTGTCTCCTTCCTGCTATACTCATATTTTGAGATGGGGGTGCCTGGATGCCTATCTGCAATGGACCAGTAGGGGGAGGCATAGGGCCAGGCTGTGGAGGCATAGGGCCAGGTTGAGGTGGCATGGGACCTGTTGGTGGTGGCACTGGGCCCAATGGTGGTGGCATTGGGCCTGATGGTGGTTGCATGGGGTCTGATGATGAGTGCATGGGACCAGATGGTGGAGGCATAGAGCCTTGGGGTCCACCCATTGGGGGTGGCATTCGGCCAACTGGTGCAGGACCTCTGGGTGGTTGCTGCATACCTAGAAAAAATAAATTTTTATTGTCAAAAGTATTTTGTAAGGGTAAACAAATCAACAAATACTGTATTATGAATATGCTGGTCAGACTTTAATATAAGAGTGCAAGATCAGAGAACATAGAAAAAAAGTTACAGGGATCGGAAGCTTGCAATGGCTTACAGATTTCACAGATATTTCAAACACGAAAGAAAAAAATATATTACATATTCAATTTGAAGGTTAACTTTCATCATAATTACTAACGATAGCACTTATGAAACAAGGTTTTTGTAAAATATTAGGCATGAATTATCACACATTTATCACAACTAATTTAGAATTTAGGTTAAGACCTCACAAAGAATTCTTAGGGAAGCCTGGGCAGGGCTAGAATAGAATTTTGATGTTAAATTCCGACGCAATATTTCATATGGTTACTTTCAGGATTGTTATTTGAGATATGTACAACATCTGTTCCAAACCTCTGAATAGGTAGTCATCTTACATTCGGATGTATCATTTTTCAACGACATTTAATATAATTTTAGATAATAAATATCCCATTCCCAAAAAAAAAAAACACCCTAAAACACAAAAAATGAGGATGTGTTTAGGGTTTCTGTGATTTTCATGAATGGTGCCAGGGGCAGACTGATCCATTCTATTTTTTGAGGGGTGTTCTCACTAAATCATGGCTTTTAGTATGAAATACAGTACCCAGCTTTAGATGCTTACCTGCTGAGGTGAATGGAGTGCCACCTTCCAAATAGTCGTACCTTACTCCGGGTATCGGAGAGGGCGCTGCTGAAGATCGTGCTGATGACGGACCTGAAGGTGGTAAGCATAAATATTTTTATATGAAAGCTTATAACACATTGCACAAACTGTTGAACTGATACAAACTATCAGTCTCTAAATAGCATCAAAATTATGATACAACAGAGACCAATATAAATTGTAATTGTAAAAAGCACAATATGATTTCACAGAACAACATCAAAATGGCAATTTTACTAAAATGTTTTTCGGTTTTAAATAATTGTACAATTGAGAAAGCACTAACGCAAGATTGATTTTTTTATTTTGCCAGTAAATTAATCAAATGAACTGCAGTTGGTTTATTGTGAGAGAAACAAAACTGCAACAGGTTTTTTTTTAATTGTAATGAATTAAAGACAGACATATCGACCAATTATCTGGGTATCTGTTCAGAATATAGTTATGGTGTGGTTGTAAAACTTGGTTCCAAAGCTTTAATTAATGTATAAATGAAATTGTACGGTATGTTTTCTGTAAACAAAACAATTTTTATCATTTCATATGCCTAATGATATATATTTCTTGTGTTGGAAACAGACTGTATTCTTTAAAGCAGTAGGTGAAACAATTCCTGATCATCGTTTTACTTGATTATTATCAATACCACTATTATCGTTATTAAATACTATTATTGTCATATTATCATTATCATTATAATTATTATCATTATTATTAGTAATTATTCAGGTATAGTTAAAAAGTACAAAAGCAGAACAAGTCTGAAATTATTGCCTGAAATTATTGCAGTACAAAAATTCAATAAAACCAAATATTAAATCCATTCAAACAAACAAAAAATTGCGAACATCAGAATTATTAAACACCAAAAATTTAGAATACTGTACTGACATACATACAATTCACCATGATTAATATCATAAAATTTTCTATCACTTCACCTTAAATACTGACACCAAATACTATGTAATTCTAACTTTTAAACAATAAACCTATGTAGCAGTAGAATATAATTAATTTTACTAGTAAGTATTATTATCACTACAAGTATCTTTATTTACTGTATCATTAATCATGGCTTAAAAATAAATCTGTTTATTTTTCAATTTTATTCATTTAAATTTTGTAGAGATCTAGCTAAACAAATATAAAGGTTTTGTCTATTAATTCTACAAAGATGAACTAAAAGGCACACATAGTATGTTATAGAACTTGAATTCAGAGCAATAAACTATTATTTAACTTCTATATTCAACAATGAAAGACTGTAAACGTTGGACTCTTGCTACCAGAGCTGCTCACAACAGAAGTGAACATAAAAAGAATTATCCAATATTGACCACTTTTATAAAACAAATATAATTTAAAGAAACCAAACTAAGGAAGATCATTGTCCAAATTTACAATGAACATACAATGACCGAACAAAAAAGCTTTCTATTCAGATCTGAAAGAAACATCTGATATTGTTTTGATCAAACAATTGTTGAGTCTGAGAGACAAATCAACAGTAATAGCTAATTATTTCTTCTAATTGTTAAAATCAATTACATTATTTATTATATAATAACATAATACAATTTTCAAATAAATATAGAGTAGAAATCAAAGAAATTTAGTTAATATTTTATTAAAGCACAAATAACAAATTATATTTTGCAAAAAAAAGATGGTTGGATAGAAATGAACCAGGCTATATCGGGTTAATTTTTGTTTAAAGGCAGGCTCCGGTGGAAAACAAATTTTTCATATATTACAACTGGTTTTTCTAAGATACAAAAACCATATCTGACATAAACTCGGGGGAGCAGTTAATGAGATACAGATTTTTGAATATTTAAAAACTGGGAGAGGTGGGGTGGGGGAAGGGGAAAGGTGGAAAAAAGAGTGATTGTTACACCCCTTTTTCCCCAGTTTTTAAATATTCAAAAATGTGTATCTTATTAACCGCTTCCACGTACTTCATCAAATATGCTTTTTGAGTCTTAGAAAAATCAGTATTACAACATATCAAATTTTTTTCCCTCTGGAGCCTTTAAAAAAAGTTAAGCATGTGTGCGTCATTATTGTCTAGGCATGAATACGGTAAGCCTATGGTTGATGTGATATTGCTGGTGTAGAATGGGGTGATACTGGTCTAATACAACAACATACTGTACTGTAAGTTGGCAGTGAATCATTCCAAGGTACAGTATTAGGGGCATACAAATGTACTATTTATAGTTCTGTATTTTGTAAAGTGACACGTACTACCAAAGTCCAACATACAGAAAAGTCTCAACTCATTGAGTACACAGCCTGGTTACGCAACCTGTTGCCTTAAGAACACATGTTTGAAAATTAGAATTCTGCCAACAATTGCATATATATTTTGTTTGCTGTATATTTTCATTCATAATGAATACAAAATAAAATACCATGTGCTACCAAGTTCATATACCAAATATGATAACAAAGACGTTATAGAATTTAAAAGAAATTAATTTGAATGTACTGGAATTTAATGGTTATACACAAAATCGATGGCCATGCACACAAACATCTGAATGTTACCCTTTGGTGTGGAAATAGAAAATTTCATTTTTTTATCATATATTTATAATAGTAAACTGGTAACAATTAATAATTTAATTATAAATTTGATTAAAATTCGTGAAAATTAATATTTTCATAAATGTAGATAATGTTCTTTGGTATGATAATTAATTAATTTGCATCACTCAAAGTGGTAAATTTGAGTAAATATTAATTTTAGCCAAAAAGCTGGGAGGTACTGTGAATGATTGATGTTCTTATAATAAAATAATGAAATGGATGAATAAATAAATGAAGATTGAATGAGCATTAGTAATTAAAGGTGAATAAATGAATCAATTATTTTAAATAACTGAATGAAATAATGAATGATTAATGAACAAATAATAAAATGAACGAATGAGTAAACAATGAAATGAATGAATGAGTGAATGAGTGAATGGATGAATGAATGGATGAATAAATGAATGAATGAATGAATGAATGAATGAATTAATTAATTAATTAATTGTAAACAATGTGTACCCTCTTGTACCACATTGCATAGGTTGAATTATCTTGGGAATTCTACTTTGTTAGGTATCTAAGAAGCTATAGTCCAAAGACTTGTCTGAGAGGCTATAAAAAGTATTAAATTAAAATGAAATAGGATACAGCACATATTGTGACAGGTTTACAGTTAGTAATGTACAATACACATAAGCTATGCGACATGCACACCATAAGGAGTTTACAAAATCACAACATCATAACAGGCCATGCAGATTATCTACGTTTTCGTGGACACATAAAATTGGTGGTTTCAATGTCCCAATAACAGACTACTTTACAAAAAGTTTTGTGCATAATAACACAAATGTATTCACCAAAATAGAATTGACTTATTAAACAGACTTGTAATGTTTGTGATTTTGAAAACGCCTTTTTATCACAATTCACAGCATACAACGTATATATTACTGTTCACACGAAAGCATGTGATAATTGCATGTGTGCATGTTATCTTGTTTGTGGCCATCTATCATATTTTTTTTTTAGCATGAAGAGCACAATTAATGACATTTTTTTTTCAATCAAAAGAGTGCTTTGCGATTTCTACCTGTAACATCCAGCAGAAGGCCATCCATACTCGTAGCAGACAAAGAACGATGAAACTCATAATTGGGCCCAGGCAGCCCACCGAGGGAGGAAGATGAGGCGGTACGATGCATAGTTGGTGGAACATGCAATTGGCCTGAAATGGTGTTAGTTTAAGGGATGTTAGCCAGACTTTGACATGCCATATTATATTGTATTATGAAGTAAACATAAGATAAATTAAAAAATGCATAATTAAAAGAAAAGCCAGCATTAGGTTCATCGATGTATTTTATCTTTTTGAATAGTACAAAACAAACCATTAAATACTGTAGTGTAACACAGTTTCTGATGAAAAAGCAGATGAAAACACAACCATGCCATATACAGTAATTAGCCCACTCTCCCTTTTATGGTATGTTTTGTACTAGTCATGAAAATTAATTTGGTAGAAACAGAATTTTTTGCAATCATACTGTACCAGTCTCTATAATAATTGTCAAAGATTATTATTATTTCTTTTTAACCATATTTATATTTATAGCGTATCCTAGAAAGTTGGACGATATTCAGGGGCACTTAAATAAATGAAATAATGTGATGCTTTTTATCAGCGAAGTTTCTTTATGAAGCTTAGGGAGTGGAGTTGTTTTTAGTCGTGAGAAAAAGTCCAGCTGACACAGGAATTGAACCCAGGACCCAGAAATTGGAAGGCAAGCATCTTAACCACTAAGCTTAGCTATTCAACTCAAGCTATTATAGAAACAATACCCTTCAAGCATAAAGATAAAATAATGGAATCGCCCATAAAGGCCCTGCATGTATTATTCGGTATTCAGGCAACAGCAGAGGTATGCACACTCCAGAAGTCCATTAAGTGAAAAAATACTCATTTTTGTTCAAATATTTTTATCACTTTTAAATAACATTTTGAAATCTAATACAATTAAACTGATAGAAACTGGTAAATGTTATAAAATATATAAAAGTGGTTAATAATATAAACCAAATATAAATACTGAAATAGAAAAGAAAATAATAATGATGTAAAGTAACAAAAATTAACCAAGAAAAGTCATAAAATTTCAATACAAATTAACAACAACAATTATTAAATAATATATAAAATAACAATACATTAAGACATCCTTGTATTTATCTAGATCAAACATTTATGACGATGTTTATCAATTATGTAAACGCAGTTCTTAGCAAGTGTACAGAGAAGTACTGTATGTGAATTACCATCTGATTCTGAGTAAAGCCAGTGCACTGCTCTTGTTGAAAACTAACTACTTATGGAGTGTGATATAAAACAATTTACTACAGTATTATTAAGTTGTGGTTGTCAGATTTTATACAGAATATAAAACGTGCAAGACTATACTTCACTTTAGTGCAGAATTGATATGGAACAAGTACTGTATCATGCACACCTTAATAACCACAGTACATCCAGTTTATAATATTAACCATTGTGAATTTTAAAATACATCATTTCAATCTTCCACATTGAAAGCAAGTGAAATATCTACTGTACTATACAAGAATTTATCAATTATTTTGGAAATTATATTCTACAGAAATACTACATGTGCAAATACAACATCAGGTAAATAAAATACACATTTCTCAAGTAAATCAAAAATTGTTTAGCAAAGGGAATTTCTATTTTTTTTTTTTTAGGAAGAGATAAAGAGAATCTAAATTTTAGGTAGTGACCCTTCCTGAAGAGACAGACAAACATCTGCTTGTGTTGTTGTCAATGTACTGTTCTACTACCCTAAAGAACAAAGGGTATTTAAAGCCATGAAAACATTCTATTATCAGTTGTTGTCTGTGAAAATAGATATATAATCCCTAGCACAATTAAAAAAAGATCAGCTAAGCTGGGATATGAATATCAATTAACAATCCAAGCATGAATACAAAAAATCCTAAATGTTTTTATGATTTTTTCCCCTATTAAATATAAATAAGAGTTGAACATAACATCAATATTTAAATAAGAAAATACAGGTTTACTAGAGAATAACTGAATTGGGTGTCAAATATATGGCTTATCAGATAATTTATTATGGAAAATAAATTATGAATATAATTTTTTTTAAAGTAATTTTTCAAGTTTTTAAAAACTTTAAATACATTAAAACATGATTGGTTAAATAAAACAAAAACCTTCAAACAACATAAAAATAAACAGATTTCCTACCTGAACCATTCATCTCCTGACGTGGCGATGAATTCATTGGGGGTCCATATGTCGTTGGTGGTAAATTCATTTGTGGTACACCACCTGGGCTTGGTTGAACATTATTTTGAGATGGCCCAAACGAAGTGGTTTCGGGTCCACCTGTAGGTGGTGGCCCAATAGTATTCCGGTTTCCTTGCCAGTTAGACGGTGACTGACCACCATATAAATTTGTTTGAAAATTAAGTTGGTTTACAGTTGGTGGTCCACCTTTTCCAGGAGTACTCACTGAATCCATGTTTGATGGACTTCTACCACCAGGAGGAGGTGGCCCTCTATATTGTGGTCCACCAGATGGATGAAAGTTCAGTTGTGAGCCATGCTGTGGTGGCCCCATTGCTCTATTACCTGGTGGCCCCATTGCTCTATTGCCTGGTGACCCCTGAGGGTGAGAGTTCATTAAGGGTGCATTGTGTCCAAATGAAGTGGGTGGTGGACCAGGCATCCTGTTTTGCACTTGCCCTGGTGGCGGCCTAAACCCAGATCCGAATTGATCCTTGCTAGGCTGCCCTCCTATTTGATTTTGTACTGGGTTATACATTCCACCAGGGGGCTGGCCTTGCTGGTAGCTGTAGCTCCCAGACTGAGTTGGTCTTGGCTGTTGCATTTCCTTACTTGGACCCTTGACGAGAAATAAACGTGAACTTTAAATAGAGATACTGCATTAATGTTAAGTAGGCTACTGCAGATCTTAGTTAAAAGGTACGTTAAACAATGATATTGTCTCTTTAAGTATTGATATATGATGTGGCTTTAGATGTGTGGAACAATATTTATTTTAACGGTGAAAAGTATTGGCTATGGAATATCTACAACACTAAAAATAGATCTGACATATTGTCCATCGTTTAATGTACATAAATTATTTCTTAGTCTAAAAATAAACATTACTGTTTTCCGTGGTGGAGAGGAGAGTGACAGGAAAGGCTTTTATACATTCAATATTAAATCAGCACCATGAACTAATACTAAATAGCCTATTTCTATATCTTGCATATTTTAATATTATGTGCGAAAATGATGCAGTACAGACTACTGAAATGGAGCATATTTTACATTTAAGAAGTAGATTTTTGAAGGCTTCTTCACTTCAAAAAGTAACACATTAAAGTAATATTGGTACAAGGTCTAGCCTTCTTGGTTGGGCCTTAAGCCTAAACCAAGCTAGCTAGTTGGGCTCTCCTTAGCCTAGCTAGGCCTAGCCTAGTCCTAATACTTACTAGGCCTAGGCTAGGGATGGGTGGGGAGGCATAGGCCTAAGCCTAGTCTCTAGACACTCTTCTGACTTTATTTATCAATTATACAAACACGTGAATTTTTTAATTTCATAAAGTTGTTTGAGATCATTTCATATCCTATTACTAATGCGCTAAACAGTGCAGTCAGATCCAAAAACATGCATGTGCATCCCTAGGCGCACAGTAGCTAGGGTCAAAAGGCAGGGCAGAGATGTTTGGGGCGGCACTGTCACTAGTATGTAGTAGGACTAGCCTCTGCCTAGGCTACCTTTGTGAACGAAATCGAAATCGTGTCACCAACGAATGGTCAATCGTATTTGTCATTTTCATTCTCAAAGTATTCATCTGGATGTAATTATTTGTAATTATGTTAATAACGGAAATGAGCATTTAATAAATATAAAATGTTTAAAAACAAAGTTCATCAAATACTGTACATCAATTATTAATTATCAACTTACTATTTAGGCCTATTTCATCAGCCTCGAGTTCGTTGGTGATTTTCTTTCTCTACGGTCTCGATGACTTTTTCCCTGTAGTAGGCATATCCGGAAACCTCTATGACCTCCGGTGACACAGACAGCTCGCCTAGCTCGATCGCAGAAATCGCCCATGTGTAGCCCGCCCTCTTGATCAACGTGGCATTCCCATTATTTCAGATAAACTCCGGGGGTGACGAGCATAAAATTGATAGGAATAGAACCGTTTGTTGAATTAAAAAAAAAAGGGGAAAAAAAAAAAAAATCATCAATTTCATAATATAGACAAATCACTCACCATATATATTATATAAATAAATACAAAGTACTGTAATCTTAATATTCTTTCATGAACAGGGTCGCATCCAGTAGGGGGGACACGTGCCCCCATTTTGCCACTAAATTTTAAAAATTTCAATGCAAATCAATGTTATGTGCTACTCACTTATCTATTTTGAAACTGTGGTGCCACACCCCCACTCCCCCTCCCCGTTTGAAAAATTCTGGATCCGCCCCTTATGAACTCTTGTGGATTTTCATAATGTATTGTGCTGTTGATTTACAATTCTGTCCATTATGTTTGAAACAGTATTGAAAGAAATAATAATAAAACATTCTCTGTTAAACTTTATATATTTCTTGTAAATTGTATTTCTTTTTTAGGTTTAGGGAATGAAAGACTGAAAAAAGGTAAACATTAGATATAACGCACTTTTATTTTATGACTACGACTCCCCGTAATTTGTACTGGTCACACTACTAAAGTTCGCAACCAATACTTTCTTTTTCTCTTACGTGGAATAACATTCCTTTCTTACATTTTTGTGTATTGTTAATAAATGATTAAAGGAAACTAAATGAACTTTTGTTTAGGTGGTTCTATAATTTATTATACGTTAATACACTGAATTGTGACATTTTATAAAAGTCTTTTACAAATGTCTGTAGCATAGGCCAATCACAAGAAGCGTTATATAATGCTACGGGCTTTCACTGACGTATGGAATGCAGCCATCTTGGTGTCTTCTCGGATCGTAGGATTTCCCAATGACACTGAAATAAGGTTTATACTTTCACCTATAATAGTAACTAGTCGGCTACATCAAAAAGTGCTGATTTCGAGTGAGGTAAATGATTAAAATATTTGGTAACTAAAGTTATACTTTATTTGTTTGGCATTGATATATACAATTTTTAAGAAGGTTATGTAATAAGTGAACACTGTCAACATTTTTCATTGATCGTGTCCTATCCTCCCTTCCGAATCTCTATCGTGTTCGTGGTGGTGGTATTGCAGCTGTGTACCTGTCTTGGTGTAGGATAATGATGTATCCAGTGTTCAGTTCACAACACTTGTTTTATTTTGAGGAACCGGCATTGAGTTTTTACTGAACTTTTACATTATTTGAACAACTAAACCTTGTTTTAGATTCACCTGTATTGTATATCGTAAACAATTCAATCAATAAAACAAATGACATTTGTTTCAAATTTACATTTGAAATGTAAATTAAATAATTCTAGAGTTATCAAGATGTATTGTTAATCCTTTTTTGAAATAAATAAATAAATAAATGATAATATACTAACTAAGTAATAATACTCAGGAAAATGTACTCTTCTCATTGTGCTGAATCTGTTTAAAAGGCAGCGTCGTTCATCCATCAAATCAAATATCTTGCTTAATGTTAATGTGTATCTTTCTAGTTGGTTGATTAAAATATAGTGGGCTTAGCAAATCACCTATGAAACACGATGAAGTGTATTTACCATGCGCCTCTTTATGTAATAGCTTAAAAAATAAATATGACATCATCAACAATGAATACTCAAGATTATAAGCTCATGAGTTCCAGAATGATGATGTGTCATTGATGATGTTTTTATTAGTTGTCATCTTTGCCAGCACATCAATATTGACAGTGCAAGACCAGAGTCTATAGATTGTGATTAAACATATAAAGAATATATTTTGTACAACATTTATCAGATGGTACCAGCCTCCCAGTTGTCAGTCCTCAGTTAACTAGACCTAAGATTTTTTTAAAGATGGAGTCTGTATTTTTGAAAAGAAAAAAATATTGCTATATTGAGGTAAATATTGAGATAGTGTTGTTTTATTGTTAAAAGTTTTTGATATATTTTTTACATGGTAGTTTTTAGAAAAAAAAATACCCATTTGCTAATTTTTAACTTAGCAAATTAAATTTTTTTTTTAAAAGAATTATTTTTATATCTTCAGGTTGAACAAGAAAATAACAAAATGTTTAGTGGTTTATTTGACTGGTTTACAAATATACTTAGCTTTTTAGGTAAGTGTATTTTATCATATTATAGATTTGATATTGATGTATTTAAGGACTATTTTGGTCAACATTTCTGTAAATATGTAACAATTGGTTGATCTATATTTCATTGAAAACAATTTAGGAAGTTAATAAGAAAAATTGTGAAATATAAAATGCGCTTTACAATTGTGCAAAATGGAACAAATTTTAAATGCATAATTTGCTGAGATAAAAATAAAATGCCATTTTAATGAAATCAGTAGTCATGGTTTATATTATATTTTATTTTATTTATCATTGATAACTGAATCATGAATATTACAAGAAGGTTCATCTTCTTTTGTGTGACTGCTGCCTTTAGTTTGCTTAAGATTCTTTTCTGGTGGTGATTGGGCAGTACCACTCCAGGAGACAATCCCCTATTCTTATATAAAGAGTGTACTGCATTCTTTAACGTGCACATGGCCCATATTGCACATGGTACCAACGGCTTAAACCCTCTAATCTGAAAGATGGTGCACTTGTAATTAAAAATAGCATTTAGCCCTCCAGCTGAATTACAAGGTGAGCAGCGATGGGAATTGAACCGGGAACCAAGAAATTTCCACAGTTTAACGTACACACAGTGGCTACCACCAGTTTCGCCAGCTGAGCTAAGTTGTTAATGGTTGTGTGTTTCCATATTTTCCTATAGGCATTTTGCAAAACGTAATATAATTTTTACTTTTGTTTTTACAGGTTTATATAAAAAGTCAGGAAAGTTAGTATTTTTAGGCCTAGACAATGCAGGCAAGACAACTTTACTTCACAGATTAAAAGACGATCGAATGGCACAGCATGTTCCAACATTACATCCAAGTAGGTTCCTTTCAAAAAGTGCATTTTCCCTAATATGTATATTTTCATATTTAATATATAAAATCATTTAATTAAATTGTGATTTATAATCAAGTACTGTGCATTAAGTTTCATCTACACACAACAATAATAGGAAATCTGATCGTAACCACCCTTTTTTCCACCTTTCCTCCTTCCCCCCCTCTCCCAAGTTTTTTAATATTCAAAAATATGTATTTCATTAACCATTCCCTAGTTTTTCGTCAGTCCCTTTTTGTGTCAGTTGTACAACATGTTAATTTTATTTTCCACTGGATCCCGACTTTAAATTGTAAATCCAATCCAATAGTAGGTACCTGTAGGAATTGCCACAAAGGAACCGAAATAGAGCCTAGGCAATTTGGAATCTAGTGCAGCAAATACATAAACTGTCTTTGCGAACATAGTGGAACGAAGGCTTGATTTTATCACAGGTCTTGTACAACAGATACTAGAATTTTATTGTAATAAACTAATTATTAGAATTTCACATCCAGTAGCATTTCTGAGGTGACTTACAACCTAAAAAAAAGGGGGAGGGAGGGAGGGAATCAAGATTTCTACCATAGAAATCAAATGAGATAATGTTGATTATTATTTTTATTTCCATTATACAACAGCTTCAGAAGAACTTCAGATAGGTGGGATGCGATTCACAACCTTTGACCTTGGAGGTCATCAACAGGCTCGGCGTATTTGGAAAGACTATTTGCCAGCAGTAGAAGGTATCGTATTCTTGGTGGATGCAGCTGATAGAGAAAGACTCATGGAATCAAAAGAAGAACTAGATGTAGGTCACTAGATTGTGCCATTGTTGCCTCGAAGCGACACAAGCAAAATTGTCTGTTCATGAAACAAAATAAAACACTTTTCACACGTAATTGTTGTACCTTTATGTAGTGGTATACAAATACAGCTTGGTTTGTAGTGAAGTAGTAAATTTTATATCCTGAGGTTTTGAATGATTAGTAGTGGCAATCATCCAACAATGAGAAATCACTGCTTTACCAAAATATATCCATGTTATATTTGTTTTACTATATTTCATATTAAACAGCAAAGCGTCCATCTATATTAGCCATTTCAATCTGTGTTACAGTTTACGCATAGGCAGGAGTGCGGTAGTCGCAGGGAAGTAGTAAACTATTGCACCTCTTACCAGGTGGATATGACTAATGAAATGATGTTATTATTTAATTAATATTTGTGAGGTATAGTAATATAGGATACAACAGTGCTTGAAGGGAACTGCATGATAAACAATTTTTTTTTTTTTTTTTTTTCATGAACAGATACAATTTGCTTTGTGGTGACAATAATTATTTGTGGAATGAAAAAAAATTCAGTAACATATTTTGAATGAATGAAATGAATTTAAAACAATATGTATGCGGCCCGCCAAGCAACATTGGCTAGAAAACATCTTATTTTTACAGCCCGACACCGATTATATGTAAAAAGTAACATTAAACTGAGAATAAAGTGGTGTGAAAGCAGTGCTTTGATGTTTTTGGAAGCTCAATGGAAACATTTAAGTTTGGGTGCGGCTCTCGGTGTTAAATCCAAAATTTACTTTAGCCCTCCGACCGATTTTTATGCCCACCCTTGCTTTACACAATCTAAATCTTAATTTTAGATTGATTATAAGTACTGTATTAATTAATAACAAGATTGCATTTGGTTTAGATTTACCTGTATTGTATGGAGTACAGAATTCAATCAACATGACAAACGTAAATTCAATTTTGTACTAGCCAATATCTTAATTTTTTTTTAAATAAATAAATAATAATAATAATTATAGGCAGATTTACAGTTCTCATTCTACTTGCTTGAACCTCTTTAAAGTCAGGCTCCGGAGGAAAAAAAATTTTTGATATGTTGTAGAACTGATTTTTCCAAGACAGAAAAAAGTAGTTTGACAAAAAACTGAGCAATGGTGAATGAGATACAGATTTTTGAATATTTAAAAACTGGGGTAAAAAGGTGTAAAAATGGGCGGTTAATGGGTATTCAAAAATCTGTATCTCGTTCACCGTTCCCCAGTTTTTCGTCAAACAACTTTTTTCTGTCTTAGAAAAATCAGTTACATATCAAAAAATTGTTTTTCCTCCGGAGTCGGACTTTAAAGGCCTGCAACTTTTATTCATGAAATATCTTGCGTGTATCTTTCTAATTAGTTTATTAAAATTAGTTGGCTAACATGTATGACACCAATTTCATCAATCAGTGATAAATTTATTATAACTAAATATTACATTTCAATTGCTTAATTTATTTAACTCAGTAGCTTTCAATTAAAAATTAGAATGGAAAAAAATATTTTCCTTAGTAATAAGCAGATGCATCAATAGTGTTCCTAGATTTTACAATTCTATGGTAATCAATCAATATAAAAATCTGAATTTGCAATCAGTTTAGTATTTTTTTATTAAAAATGTATATAAATCCAAATTTCAAAACAATTGTTCAATCTGTCTCATAAAAAACACCTGTTTTTTTCCAGATTTTATCATAGTGTATTTATTTTAGTAATTCTGTAATAAACATTTTATATCTACAGAGTTTGATGACAGATGAACAAGTTGCTAATGCACCTATTATGATCCTAGGAAATAAGATAGATTGTTCCACTGCGTGTAGTGAAAATGACCTACGATCAATACTTGGACTACATGGACAGACTACAGGCAAGGTAAGATCATCTGTTTAAGCTTTATAGTTACACCAGTCTTAAACCATTTTCTAAATCTGATTGGATGTTATTGTATGTATGGATTGAATTAGGACAGCATCCAATCAGAATTTTAACAGACTGGTGTAACAATAGCCACTGGCTATATATACTATTTGTGAAATAATTGCTGTGTTGATAGCTGTCTTGAATAACTGTAGGAAAGAGTATTTGAAAGAATATTGTTGAACAGGTGACATCGCCTGTAATAGTTGATTTGCAACAACGGTAGGACATGGATATACTAATTCAATATTAAATTCCTTGCTCTGTATATTTTAAAAACCAAAAGGTCCACTGATTAATCTCAGATAAGAAAGTATAATACATACTTCAAGTATTGAAATGCACGTCATCGAGATGTGTATAAGAGACAGAAATTGTCTGTTCATGAAACAAAATAAAACACTTTTCACACGTAATTGTTGTACCTTTATGTAGTGGTATACAAATACAGCATGGTTTGTAGTGAAGTAGTAAATTTTATATCCTGAGGTTTTGAATGTTTAGTAGTGGCAATCATCCAACAATGAGAAATCACTGCTTTACCAAAATATATCCATGTTATATTTGTTTTACTATATTTCATATTAAACAGCAAAGCGTCCATCTATATTAGCCATTTCAATCTGTGTTACAGTTTACGCATAGGCAGGGGTGCGGTAGTCGCAGGGAAGTAGTAAACTATTGCACCTCTTACCAGGTGGATATGACTAATGAAATGATGTTGTTATTTAATTAATATTTGTGAGGTATAGTAATATAGGATACAACAGTGCTTGAAGGGAACTGCATGATAAATTTTTTTTTTTTTTTTTTTTTTTTTTTTTTTTTTTTTTTTTTTTTCATGAACAGATACAATCTGCTTTGTGGTGACAATAATTATTTGTGGAATGAAAAAAAAATTCAGTAACATATTTTGAATGAATGAAATGAATTAAAAACCCTATGTATGCAGCCCGCAAAGCAACATTGGCTAGAAAACATTTTATTTTTACGGCCCGACACCGATTATATGTAAAAAGTAACATTAAACTGAGAATAAAGTGGTGTGAAAGCAGTGCTTTGATGTTTTTGGAAGCTCAATGGAAACATTAAAGTTTGGGTGCGGCCCTCGGTGTTAAATCCAAAATTTACTTTGGCCCTCCGACCGATTTTTATGCCTACCCTTGCTTTACACAATCTAAATCTTAATTTTAGATTGATTATAAGTACTGTATTAATTTATACGAATAACAAGATTGCATTTGGTTTAGATTTACCTGTATTGTATGGAGTACACAATTCAATCAACATGACAAACGTAAATTCAATTTAGTACTAGCCAATATCTTAATCTTTTTTGAAATAAATAAATAATAATAATAATTATAGGCAGATTTACACTTCTCATTCTACTTGCTGAACCTCTTTAAAGGCCAGCAACTTTTATTCATGAAATATCTTACGTGTATCTTTCTAATTATTTTATTAAAATTAGTTGGCGAACATATATGACACCACTTTCATTAATCAGTGTTAAATTTATTATAACTAAATATTTCATTTCAATTGCTTAATTTATTTAATTTAATTTTTATTTTTTTATTTAATTTATTTATTTGTAGCTTTCAATTAAAAATTAGAATGGAAAAAAATATTTTCCTTAGTAATAAGCAGATGCATCAATAGTGTTCCTAGATTTTTCAATTCTATGGTAATCAATCAATATAAAAATCTAAATTTGTAATCAGTTAGTATTTTTTTTGGTAAAAATGTATATAAATCCAAATTTCAAAACAATTGTTTCAATCTGTCTCATAAAAAACACCTGTTTTTTCCAGATTTTATCATAGTGTATTTATTTTAGTAATTCTGTAATAAACATTTTATATCTACAGAGTTTGATGACAGATGAACAAGTTGCTAATGCACCTATTATGATCTTAGGAAATAAGATAGATTGTTCCACTGCGTGTAGTGAAAATGACCTACGATCAATACTTGGACTACATGGACAGACTACAGGCAAGGTAAGATAATCTGTTTAAGCTTTATAGTTACACCAGTCTTAAACCATTTTCTAAATCTGATTGGATGTTATTGTATGTATGCATTGAATTAGGACAGTAGCATCCAATCAGAATTTTAACAGACTGGTGTAACAATAGCCACTGGCTATATATACTATTTGTGAAATAATTGCTGTGTTGATAGCTGTCTTGAATAACTGTAGGAAAGAGTATTTGAAAGAATATTGTTGAACAGGTGACATCGCCTGTAATAGTTGATTTGCAACAACGGTAGGACATGGTGTCGTATACTTATGTGCGCATTCAGAAAATATGAATTCTCCTGGATGTGGTTTAGGCCAAATCAGCTTAGTATGGAGAATGCAGGAACGTTATGATTGACTGAATGCATTTTAAGGTCATGTCATACTATATCAAAAGCTTCTTGTTAATGTTTACCAAATCCTATTGAATCAGATTATGCCATCTCTATAAAGTTATGTAAGTCACCCCTAAAATGTAATTAAACAGTTGGCTCACAGGTTACATATTATTATTCACTGCCATGACACTATGCTACTATTTTTTGAGTTTCTGTTAAAGTAGTTTAACTGTCTGTATTGCAATGCTCAGCCCAGTTTAAGTTCACGAGTATATGAGTAAAACATTAAAAAAAATCTGAAAGCCTCGTAGCTTTAATCAGCTTTTTTAATACTCATTTTAAACGATCAGTACTGCTACTATTAATTAAATATTATTTACTTTCAGGGCACAGTTCCTCTCAAGGATTTACCAGGCCGCCCTCTAGAGTTGTTTATGTGCAGTGTTTTGAAGCGACAAGGTTATGGTGACGGATTTAGGTGGTTAGCGCAGTACATCTAATCTCTGTGTGCATTTAACCTAAAAGTAGAATCAGGGATGCCCTCAATAAGGTGATAAAATACGTTAAAGCAAAACAGATAACGATCATTTTGAAAAGAAAAATGAGAAAACATTCACAAATACACCAGCTAAAATGGAAATGTTTAGAATTCTTAAAGCTGAACTGGTAGCATTCGAGCTTTTGCACTGAAAATATTGGCCAATTGTAAACATTTAAATATGATAAATACTACCCGATTGTTACCAGGATGGAAACAAAATGGCGGTAGATAGAAACAGAATGGCTGATGATATAGACAGTAAACATGAGGGTGTCCTTCTCAGTAGCATTTTTAACAATTAACACAAGATTTCTGGAATATGAAGTTATTAACATGAACACTATACAAGCCATTTATAACAAATTCCTTTTAAACCAGGAGAAACTTGCCACTGTTTTTGAAATTATATACAAAAATAGTTTTGAAGAAAAAATCTAAAAAGATAATTATAAACAAGGAAAAAACAAAAAATTGATATCTTATTTTCCTGGAGGTATACTACAATAAAACAAATTCTAGAACACAAAATGTTTGAGGTCTTTATATATTGAAGATAAAAAAACAAAATGTTTGAGGTCTTTATTGAAGATACTGTAGTTTAGTTTCAACATGGGGGATGTACATGTTATGAATTATGGTAATAAAAAAAGAAATGATTTAAATTGAGATAAACTGTCTGTGCTGAGGTAATTAGCTTATAATGGTAATATTGGATATACCAATTCAATATTAAATTCCTTGCTCTGTATATTTTAAAAACCAAAAGGTCCACTGATTAATCTCAGATAAGAAAGTATAATACATACTTCAAGTATTGAAATGCACGTCATCGTGTTGTGATAGCACAATGGCATGCATTTCTATACAGTACTTGGAATATGTATTATACTTTCTTATCTGTATATTTCAGTTATAAGCTTTCAATTTAAAACCAGGTAAGAGTTTCCTC